AAACAATTGACATTAAAGCCTAGGATTAAAACATTGCTTGGTTCTTTTCACACCACACTTCTGTGAACAACAAATCTGCTTTAAGTGTGGAAATTATAGCAATGAATTGTGGGTTTTGATGACACTTGCTGTCAAAAACAAACTGCACATACAGTCACTTTGCAGATTGTAAAGACTTGCTCAAGATCATTTCCAACATTGGTGGTACACTGAAGAAGCCCACCATGTTAACACGCACAGACCAATCAGATTGTTTGATAGTGTTCCCTCCCATTCATTTTTCTCCCATTTGATAGAATAACATTAAGATTAATCATCTTGCAGTACGATCTTAATGAACTGCTGTCTCAAGTGGAAAATGTTGGCCATATTTTGTGTCGCTCTGGTGTTCACAATTGGCCGTAAGTATTCTATAGAATTCAGTTTCACTTATGTTTCTCTTATTGTCACTTGTTATTGTAAATTTGTGAATGATTTTGTAATCACTGGTCTGCATTTGATTTGTTTTCAGGATGCATAATGACCAAAGTTTTGTGACAAAGACTGTTGGTGTTGGAGAAGATGTGACTCTAATATGTAGCCGCCAGTCTAGATTAGCAGAATCTTATTTTGGATCAGACTTGCTCCTGGAAGCTTCCTGAAATCTAGGAGCAACTTATACTTTTGATAATGCATACGTTAATAAGACTCCTCGCATACAGCAAAACAGAGCCTGGAACATTTGTTCTACATATGACCCAAACAGAGCTGAGCGATACTGCATTTTACTACTGTGAACAAGTGGTTGAACTGCAGACACGTTTCTGAGTAAAACCTTTCTGAGAGTCAAAGGTGAATGGAGCCATACTCAACTTTCAATTCAATTTCCAACTTCAGCTTTGAATGTTTGTACACTTCTCTCTTGCATAGAATTCTATAAATATTAAATGAAGGAATGTATTTGTTTGGTACAAAACGGATGATGCAATACTGTGATTTTGTTTCTCTTTTCAAGAGCCAGAACCTCATATCATTTTCGTCATTCAAGACTTTCCATCTGATCCAGTTCGCCCAGGACACTTAGTGAGTCTGCAGTGTTCAGTCCTCTCTGACCTGAAAGTAGAACATGTCCTGGAGAACACAGCGTGTACTGGTTCAGAGCCGGATCAGAAGGATCTCATCCCAGTGTCATTTATGCTCATAAAAACAGTGGGGATGAATGTGAGAAAGTCCTGAGGCCGCTCTCCACAGAATGTCTACAGCTTCTCTAAGAACATCAGCTCATCTGATGCTGGGATTTATTACTGTGCTGTGGCTGCATGTGGGGAGATATTTTGGAAATGGAACAAAGCTGGACACTGAAGGTAAGCTTGTAATTGTCATATTCCAAAGATCAGCTTCATGTTTAATATTACATAAAAATATCTTCAGCATAAATAACTGAATATGTATTTCTACCTGAAGGCAACAATAAAGAGTAATGATTGTTTTTTTTACTTCTTTTGTTGTTCTTCTTTTATATATATTTCAGATTCCCTGAGGTCCAATACAATTCTGTTTCTGTCTGTGCTGCTTTGGCTATCAGTCTGATTGTTATAGCCCTACTGATGTACACTGTGCAGAACAAAAAGTGCAATGGTTGTAATGGTAATAAACTAACGTCAATCTATCACACATTATTTAGCTAATTGTAAACAGTGATAAGATTAGTGCTGTGTTTCTTAAATCAGTCTATCATTCATTTTCTAAATAATTAAATCCTGTGTATCTTCTGATGCTGGTTGTTTTTCATGTTATGTCACGTTACAATCCAGCTGTTGCTGCTGCCCTGCAAACAAATGCTGCAACAACCACTGGTGATCAACAAAGTCAGCAGGTAAGTACTTAAAAAAAGATGTTTGTTCGTACATTTATATTGACCGCTCACATCTAACAATGTTTTGCCATATATATCTACAGACAGATGAACACATTGGTTTATTCTGTGGCAAACTTCAACAGACGGAAATGTGGCAGGAATGTAAATAGAAGTGCAAATACATTCGAGGGAGAGAGCATCTACACAGATCAGGTTTTGGGGTAGGACAGAAACATGTACACACAAGTTCCTAATTGATTTTTGTTTAATGTGCATGGTACACCATGCTGCAGATATTAGCAGGATGTTTTCTGCTGTATGGAATGAATAAAAATTAGTTCCTGTACACATTTGGACCAGATCTTTAAATTTATTGAAATTTATTTTTATTTTTTTCTTACTGTATAGTTTAAGCCAGCATTGATATGTATGATAGGGGCTGCATTGCAAGGTCACTTTGAAATGTGTTTCCAATCCTGCCTGTCTCTTTTGTATGTATAGGATATTAAGCTCTTACGTGGAAAGTTTATTTTCAAGCTTTCTATATGATAACATTCTTGGACAAATAAATGACAATGGAATTAAAGATCAAGTCTTATAAACCTGCCTTCAGCCTCAAGTGTTTGTGTAAGATTGTATGTACAGTATAATTAAAGAAATTTTGGATTTGTACATAAGAAACTTGGACATGTATATCATGTTAATATTATTCCAGGAATCATAATTGGGAGAGATCTGTGTAGATTATTAGTTATTATAAGTATTTGAGTACATTTTATGGAGAACCAAACTGCGACTGTTTCAAACATTATATGTTAACTTGATGACAAAGGTCTGGTAAGCCTGTCGCTGGCAGTCATGTATGTCATTTTAGTATGAGGACGTGTTGTTTTCTTTGCTTGACTAACTTGACATCAAGATCACCTTGCATTCACCTGGAGTTTTCTACGTTATGACTGCATCTACGTATATAGATTGGTACAAATTTGATTCATACATTCATGATTCCTAAAATAGGAATCCTAAAATACCTTTGATTATCCCCAAACTTTTTGTCAAGAGCCAAATATTTTATTAGCACAATACTTTTAGGTTAAGGACCAAACTAATGACATTCAGCCAAAGCTGTAGTTTGTTTTTAATGTTACTTAGCATACGTTGCATTCTAATGCACTAAACTAAGATGGTGACCATGGTAACCATTAAACCTAATCAACATTGTCACTGTAAGGATATTAGCATGCAGCCTCACAGAGGTGCTAGCATGGCTGTAAACTGTTAGTTTTGTTTACTTGTGAATTTGTAATGCCGATGACGCAGGATAAAGTCACCTAAACTGTCCACTGTATGTTTTACTCGTCAATTCATCGTCTCGTTCATTGTAATGTAAGTCACTGATGACCTGCAATGGACTTGAACAAAAGTGAAGTGAAAATATGTCCTAGAAATTGTCGGAAATAGCTTTCAAAAAAATACTATGCTGCAGTTTGGCATCTCTATTCTGTTCAAACTGACCACAAAACCTCAAAAGTCATGAAGCTGCTGAAGAACAGCGTGACAGGAAATGTACTTACATAAAGCCCGTCTTCTATGATAACCAAGAGGATGCATCAGCTAGTGTGACCTATCACCACTCTTATATCATCACTTTTACTCTGAAAAACCAACAAAGATTTTAACAAAAGACAACATCAGGATGCTCCGTTCAGGGATTATACTGCTTCTTCTCTCATCAAGGATGTAAGTGCTATCTCTGGCCAATTTATTATTGAGGGTTTTATGGTGGAAAGAAAAGTTATTTTTCTTCGATGTTTTTCTTTAATATATGTGTACTAAAGCATTATGGCAACAGTTATTTGTAGTTTTGTGAATAAATGTTACCTTAATTTCTAATCATATAAAATTATACATTCCGATTATTAGTAATAACAATTACTCCCTATTGTCTTTTATTCCAGATGCACTGATCTCAGTGACCACTGTTCATCTTGGTGAACCTGTGACCTTCACATGTGCTTACCCTGATGCAGAGTATAGCAATACAAGAATTAAGTGGTACAAACAGATTACTGGTGATACTCTTACATTAATTACTACACTGATGAAAGCTACTACAAATCCTGCATTTGAGCAAGGGTTTCCTTCCTCACGATTTGTTGCAAACCATACCACAATCATGAGCACTCTGACCATTTTGGAAACAATCGAAGATGATGAGGCAGTGTATCACTGTGCAGTCACTACCTGGAGTAAGGATCAATGGATAGGCACATATTTGTCTTTAAAAGGTAATACATGCCTCTGTTGTATAATACATGTCATTTTGATGTTCCAACTCTCCTTCTAAATACAGACAACCTGCAACTTTTCACACTTTGTTTGCATTTTGTAGGAAACCTCAGAAGATGACAGACTATAATGTAGTTCAGTGGCCAACAATATCTGATCCTGTTCATCCAGGAGACGCCGTAACTCTCCAGTGTTCAGTTCTCTCCACGTCTAAGAAGAAGTCCTGTCCAGGTGTACACTGGTTTGGAGTTAGATCAGATAAATATCATGCAAACACCATCTACACTGGTGGAAATAGACATCATGAATGTGACAAGAGACCTGATGCACAATCTCCGCCAAAGAGCTGTGTTTATCACCTTTCTAAGAATGTCAGCTCCTCCGATGCTGGGATTTATTACTGTGCTGTGGCTGCATGTGGGGAGATTATATTTGGAAATGGGACAAAACTGGACATTGAGTCAGGTAACTATCATTTTTCTGTTACCATTATGGTTCCCCCTTCATTGCCCCCTGAAGTAGTTTTAAGACTGAAAAAGCCCCATCTTATTCCACACAGTTTGACAGCATAATATGCTGTATATTATGTATTAGCTTGTTCCAACCCCGTCCAATCCTGTCTAATGGAAATATTCTAGATGTCCGGGACATCATTTCATAGACATGTCTCCCAAATTCATTCTGTTATACTTACCTTTCTATCTTAATGATAGGAAGGAAAGGAAATAAAGTTATAAGTATAGTAAGTAAGTGTAAGTAGAATTTGAACAACTTTGGTGGAATTACATTTTAATTGAATTTTACTAAATGTCATTGTGTGTTACATTTCATGTTTAGGAACCAGCTTGAGGTCTGTTTTACAGATGGACAACATATTTTGCTTCTGCTGTGTGCCACCTCAGCTATAAGTCTGATTGTTATAGCAATCCTCATTTACGTCAACAAGAAAAATAAGTGTGACTATTGCAGTAATGAAGGTAAATAAGTTATCTCACTATATCAAATGTTATTTAGCTAACAGTAATTTCATTAGTGTCAGAGTTACTAATATTAAATTTTGCATCCTTATTTATATTGTCTATTGATCCCCTCCCCCTTCATTTTAACTTTATTGTAGCTGATGTTTCCCTGCAAGAATATTTTGCAAAAAGGAATTTAAAGGTAGAATAACTTCTCATAATGAGTTTTAATGCATTTTTTCTATTTCACTTTCTATTTCTATTTCATTTCACTAATTTTAAATTTCCTCAGAGAGATGAAGAAACATGGATTTATTCCGCCGCTCTCTTTACCACGATGCAAACTGGCACTGGTGGAAGAAGCGATGCAAAAGCAGTGGAGAGGGAGAGGATCTACGCTGCTGTCAAGGCTTTTGGGTTGAATTAGCAAGTTAACTGGACTGTTTTAGATGAGTTACTACCATACTAGAGGCCTATGTGATAGTTGATGCTATTCTGTGTAAAGCTAAGATGTTATTATTGACTATTAGGTAAGATTGTACATATCTGTCTTTGTTTGATGTTTTTAGATTGAATTAAAACAAAGCATTTTGTTACACTAATGTTGTTGACTTAACGTTTTGTGAAACAGTGTTAAGCACAGCTATGAGTAAAGGTCAAGACATAGCAAGCTGGCTAGTAAGTTATTATTGACTAGTTCAACAGAAAATAGGCCAGCATGGCATCTGTCCAGGATCCTTTCAGCTCTTTTAACTCACCCTAATGACTAAAAAGTCTGATATTTACTCTGGTCAGGTCTCTTCTTCGCTTTCTCCAACGTCGTCTTTGGTCTCTCTCACAGCCTTTGTCATGATATCCATACTCAGAATACTGAGTTAGCTTCTTCCAAAGCACTTACATTATACTTTTTGCTGCATTTTATGGGTTGCTTGCAGAAGAGTTGGGGTGATCCCATAAATCCTTACACCGTTGTCCTGCCTGGGATTACAATGTGATGACATTTACCCTATTACAAGTCAGTGTACCATTAATTAGGGCCCGAGCACGACCGTGCGAGGTCCCTATTGAATTTGCTCGGATTATTATTATTTTTATTTTATTTTTTTTATTTTTATTTTTTTTTATGCAAAGTAGGCTCAACTGACATGGCCTAAACATACTCGAAAACTCACCAAATTTGCAAACATGTCAGAACCGGTGAAAAATTTCGTATTCTACAAGTTTCGCACATGGGCGTGGCAAAATGACTCGCTAGCGCCACCTAGAAAATTGAAAAAGATTAGCCCCTCGTTCACGTTCAACCTACATGTATGAAATTTTCTGGGGACATGTATCGAGACGCACAAAAAACCTCAAGAACCCATAGCCTAAAGTCAACAGGAAGTCGGCCATTTTGAATTTTACGGCCATTTCTGGATTTACACACTTCGTACTTTAACGAACTCCTCCTAGGGATTTAGTCAGATCGACGTCAAATTTCTGCTGTGCCTTGTAAAGGCATTGACGATGTTGTGCTATTTGCGAGTTTCGTCAATGGGCGTGTCGGTGGCGTCGATGATTCGCTATGAAACAGAAGTTGTTGTATGGGCGTGTCCGTGGCGTGGCCTCAAAGATCAAGTCTTCGCCATGACACAGGAAGTTGTCGTAACTTCAGTGTACATGCTCACATCTGGACCAAAGTGTACATGTAGTGACAGTCCAGCCCTGAACACATTACATGCCGACATTCACCCACAGTCATAGCGCCACCTGCTGGCAACAGGAAGTGATATTTAACAAAGCAGCCCCCGCTGCACGTTTCACCTACGTGCACGAATTTTCTGTGGTACGTGTATCTTGTCCAGACGCACAAAAAGCCTCTTGGAGCGATGCCCTAAAACCAACAGGAAGTCGGCCATTTTGAATTTTACGTCAAATTTTGGATGATTTACACACTTCGTACTTTAACGAACTCCTCCTAGGGATTTAGTCCGACTGACCTCAAATTTGTGCTGTGCCTTCTAAAGGCATTGAAGATGAAAAGTTGTGCTATTTGCAAGTTTTCGTCAATGGGGTGTCCGTGGCGTGGCGTCAAAGATCAACTCTTCGCCATTACACAGGAAGTTGTCGTAACTTCAGTGTACATGCTCACGTCTGCACCAAACTGTACATGTAGGATGAGAGTCCCGCCCTGAACACATGTACATGCTGACATTCACCCACAGTCATAGCGCCACCTGCTGGCAACAGAAAGTGACTTTTAACGAAGCAGCCCCCGCCGCACGTTTCACCTACGTGCACAAATTTTCTGTGGTACGTGTATCTTGTCCAGACGCACAAAAAAGCCTCTTGGAGCGATGCCCTACAACCAAAGGAAGCCAGCCATTTTGAATTTTACGTCAAATTTTGGATGATTTACACACTTCGTACTTTAACGAACTCCTCCTAGGGATTTAGTCCGACCGACTTCAAATTTGTGGTGTGCCTTCTAAAGTTATTGAAGATGAAACGTTGTGCTATTGCGAGTTTTCGTCAATGGGTGTGTCCGTGGCGTGGCGTCAAAGATCAAGTCTTCGCCATGACACAGGAAGTTGTTGTAACTTCAGTGTACATGCTCACATCTGAACCAAAGTTTACGTGCTGATAACTCTCCCACCCCTATGGAGGACCGATCCTGACACAGTCAGAAATAAATACAGAAATAAAAATGCTCAACAATAAATAAGCATCCAATTAAATACACAAAAAAATAAAGTAAATTAAAGCTGCAAGCAGCGTTGGGCGGGCCCTCGCACTTGTAGCGCGTCCGCGCGTGAGCCGGCCGCCGAGTTGCACATTCTGGAGCTCTGCCGGTGCGGCTGTGAATTTCCTACGCGGTTCCGACGCCGCATGAAGGTGCTATATGTCACTTCCTGTGTCCCCTATGTGGAGCTACATAGCACTTGCCGCTATGAATATAAATCGGTATTGACGTGTAGATGTCTGCGTGGTGGGAGAGTTATCAAGCACGTAAAGTTTGTTTCAGATGTGAGCATGTACACTGAACAATAATGTACCCAAACAATAAAATAATTCCTTTTATATTTCCCTGCCTTGTTGTTTATGTGTACATACAGAGGAAGAATGGGAGAACAGCACACATTTCATCGTTACTGGTGTTAGAGCATGTGAGAACAGTGGATACTTTTAATACAGCCCACACCCCTAATACTGTGTAACTATAACAAGTAGAGACAGAAGAAAAAGATGTTCTTTCTTTACAACTGTCTGCATAGCTTATTCATATTGTGTATGAATGAAAATAAATAGGCCTACTAGGCTCCTCTCTACTTTGACATTTAAGATTAGCTGGTTTGATCCACCTTCATACACATGTGACATTACTGTACAACTTGAGAAAGGTGAGTTGTTTTCTGCTCCAGCCTGCCTAAAAGAAAAGCGTTTTTGGGATTAAATGGACTTTAATAGCTGCTGCAGTGCAGGATGAACTCAGAACAGACCCATTTCTCACCTTATATTCTAAATCATGCAACGAAGAAGAAATGCATAATAAATCCTGGGACAAAATCTGTCCACAGCATGTAGTCTGATGAACAAGACTTGTGTTATAGCTGACTTGGGCAGTGAAATGTTTAATTTTTTTAATTCATGTGGTCATAGTTGTCCACAACTCAAATCAGAATATAAGAAGAAATGTTTTATACCACCTCAAGAAGGCTTCCTATCAGAAGTTAGGAAGGTATTTCAAATGTACAACTGCAGTACTTAATTCTAAGTAAAGTAATTTCCCTGACTTACTGTGTTACGCATGTAACAGGTTTATACTTCCTGTGAGTATAATCCAATCAATCTTATTTTCATACTGTATATCCGTTGTGTAATTTGATAAATTGTGTTGTATTGGTGCTCGCATCGGGTACAACTGACACTTCATTGCCCTCTTCAGAGAAGACTCTGACTGCAACATGCGTCTTTGTAAAGAGAGAAACGGACAGAAAAAGTCTCTAACTCTGCCTGTCAGCTCGCTCTGCTCCGTTAAAACTGAATTTACCATACAGAATTGAATACGAGTGCACTCCAGATTTAGCTGCAGCTAGCTGACCGTGTGCTTCTCCCTATACCGCAGTTCTGTGTCCATGCATGCAGCAAACTGAAAGCACCGTCTGTCGGAGCGTCTACGTGAAAAGAGAAGGAAGACATTGCTGGTAGTATTGTCTTCAGAGTTGTTAAACCTCAGCGCACTGAAGAAGCCATCTGACTGTGTGAGGGCAAGATCGTTGATGTCTGCAGGCAGAGTAGGAGCTCCCTGTCTGACTGGTCCACCAATAGCAGAGAAGATGACCCCTTGAGACACAGCCCCTCCTCATTTGCATAATGAGGCAGAAATGCATACAAAAATTTAAAAAAGACAGGCAGAAATAAATACCATGGGTGAAAATAAATAAGGTAAATAAATACAAAGGAAGAATAAAACAGACAAAATATTAAACACACACATAAATAAATACATTAAAAAAATTTGTAATAAATAAAGTTGAATAAACAAATAAGGTAATTATAACAAAGGTGAATAAGTAAAGGCACTAATTAAAATATATATTTATGTCTCCTTGTATAATTTAATTACTACCTACATTTTTTATTTACTTTATTTTTTGTGTATTTAATTGGATGCTTATTTATTTATTGAGCATTTATTTATTTCTGTATTTATTTCTGACTGTGTCAGGATCGGTCCTCCATAACGGGTGGGAGAGTTATCAAGCACGTAAAGTTTGGTTCAGATGTGAGCATGTACACTGAAGTTACAACAACTTCCTGTCATGGCGAAGACTTGATCTCTGACGCCACGCCACGGACACACCCATTGACGAAACTCGCAAATAGCACAACTTTTCATCTTCAATGCCTTTAGAAGGCACAGCACAAATTTGAAGTCGGTCGGACTAAATCCCTAGGAGGAGTTCGTTAAAGTACGAAGTGTGTAAATCATCCAAAATTTGACGTAAAATTCAAAATGGCCTACTTCCTGTTGATTTTAGGGCATCGCTCCAAGAGGCTTTTTTGTGCGTCTGGACAAGATACACGTACCACAGAAAATTCGTGCACGTAGGTAAAACGTGCGGCGGGGCTGCTTCGTTAAAAGTCACTTCCTGTTGCCAGCAGGTGGCGCTATGACTGTCTGTGAATGTCAGCATGTACATGTGTTCAGGGCGGGACTCTCATCCTACATGTACAGTTTGGTCCAGATGTGAGCATGTACACTGAAGTTACGACAACTTCCGTGTCATGGCGAAGAGTTGATCTTTGACGCCACGCCACGGACACGCCCATTGACGAAAACTTGCAAATAGCACAACTTTTCATCTTCAATGCCTTTAGAAGGCACAGCACAATTTGAGGTCGGTCGGACTAAATCCCTAGGAGGAGTTCGTTAAAGTACGAAGTGTGTAAATCATCCAAAATTGACGTAAAATTCAAAATGGCCGACTTCCTGTTGGGTTTAGGCTATGGCTCCAAGAGACTTTTTTG